TGTGTGTGTGTGTGTGTGTGTGTGTGTGTGTGTGTGTGTGTGTGTGTTTGCATGAGAAGTGGGAGAGGAAGAAGCGGAATGAAAGAAATACAAATACTTCCTGGGTTGCTGAACGGCACAAAGTAAGCAGTTGCCTCATTCTGCCTACAAATCTGCCCTTTTGTTCTCCCCACTCCCTCCTCCATGACCCCCAGCTCCCAGCCCCTCCAACCCCCCACCAACCTGACTCCTGGGCAGGAGCCAGCTTCCCTGTCTTTATCTTCCTGAGTTTACAAGAGGATTCTGATGACCCTATCTCAATTCTGGCAGCAGAGAGCTAAGTACTTTACTGACAAGACAAGGCTTGTCCCAGGCAGACAATGGGAAGTAGATAACTGTTAAAAATGCTTAATTCCAAACATGGGAATGAATTAGCTGAATCGCTTTGGTAATGATTTTCCTCACTAACAAATACCAGGAGGAAAGCATTCCTTAGCACAGTGGTGTGTACATGACAACTGGTTGGGTTCATTTACTTAACATGCTTTGTATAAACTGTGATAAATAGTCTACACTTTTCCTGATATTGTCTCCATCTTATTGTGAATTTCAAGTCTTAAACAATGGCTGTGTTTTAAATATTTGAGAACATATCAGACAGGTACCCTCCACCCTATTACCAAAAATATTACAAATACTAGCTAACTTGGGGAATCTGCATCCCATATTTGTTCCCCACAAAGCTTATAAAATGTCTGTGCATATTTGCATTTTCATGCAAACTTTCTTGCTGAACGTAAGTATACTCACAAAGTCGCTGTCACTCTCTTATTTGTGCAGCCAGAAAGTCTGTTAGAACAAGGGCTAAACTGCATGCACAGTTCAGGGCATCTTTGAATGGCACACCCTCTCTACAGAATGTGGGCCACTCATCTAGACATCCTAGTATTTTGACATAAGCCCTGTCAGATAGAAGATTCCATGCTACCAGATACACCTCTTTTGAAAATGTCATCCAGTGTAGAAATTGATTTTCTGCCTCAAATGCAGCTGCTGCTCTGAGAAACCTCCTATCCTATTAAAAGTGTCCTTGTTCCACCTCTATCTAGACATAGGGCACATGATGAAATTGACATATTTGTAGGAATGCAAAATTCTCACTGATTCATTCATTCAACAACTGTATACAAATCACTGTTCTAGATGCTGGAGATGTGGCAGTGAACAAGATGGCGAAGGTCCCTGCTCCCATGGAACTCCTTTCTATGATTTCAAATAGTGTATTATTATGAAAAAAAAATAATATGAAACAGGGTAATTTGCTAGAGAAAGATTATTTTCGATTGAACAGTCAAAGAAAACCTCTCCCAAGGCTGTGATATTTGAGCAAATCATACACAATTACAGATATTAAATAACCTAGTAGAAAGGACACAGGATTTGGAGACAGAAGACTCAAGTTCTAATTTCTTAAAAGTCTTTAGGCAAGTTCCTGAAAGCCTTCTACCTTTTAGCACAGAATTGGTATCCCACTGGGGACATCTCTCATTCTCCCTAAAAGGGTTGAGCCTAGTTCAACCTGATGAGCTTTTCCATTATGATATTTATATTATGACTAAAACCCACTACATCCATCTTTTTGAATACGAAGACTCTAAATCAATGGTTCTCAACCCTGAATGAACAATAAGTTGAAATCCTAACCCCGCTGGCATTGTTTTAAATGCTGAAGTAAATAATGTAGGACAAATTAGTAGAAAGGATTCAGAGGCACAATATACAAGCAGCTAAGAAAAGGGGGCAGGGTGGGGTTTTTCAGGATTGGTGAGTCTAATGTCTCTGGATGCTCCGCTGCCTTAGAGAAAACCAGCTGATAGAAGCGAAAATTTTTGAAGCAATTCAACACTTTCATAGCAGATTTATCGCAGGTGATTAGCATTAGATATCTGTATCAGGGCAGAAAAAAAATCCATGATAATATCATCAAGCAACATTCGAATCAGAGGTGATGTATGTGTTTGTGGTGTTACCACATTTGTTACCACATTTTTTTTTCAAATTATGCAACAGAAATCACACTCTCTTGAGGTTAAATACTGCCCTACTCTCTTCAAAAGATTTTAAATTTCACACCTCCACCCACATATTAAATTAGTAGTCCAAACCAGATGGAGGTTAGTGTTTTAGGTTATAATGACTGTCTGGAGAAAGTCCTTCCTTGCATTGCCCGTACCTATCACTTTTACCTTTAGGCTTATTCGTGCTTTGCTTGATTTCTGACGTTAAAGTGCATTTAAATGCTTCTAAGTCTTACTCTGACTATACAATTTTCCATACCATGGCCATGTGAAGTGGCTCAAAAATAGTTTTGTGATAGGTCATTAGGAAGAACCAAGAGAGAATTCAGAGATGAATGGGAAGCATTTTAATAAACAAACACATTCAAAAGCCAGCGCCTTTTCTCATGGTGCTTTCTATCACCCCCACCAAGTATACATTTCTTCTTTCTATTCACATTTTACCCAATTTTCAGGGCTGAACTCTACCCTCATCTCCTTTCTCCCTCTACCAGCCTTCTAGAATGCATAGTTTTTGATGAATATGTACCATTGACTTGTCATCCCTCTGTTTTTGTATTTGATTGATTTAACTGAAGTATAAGTCCCTTCAAGATAAAAAAACATACCTTACATTGTTGTCTCTTAATAGCTTCTAAGTAGTTAGACTAGAATCAGGCAACAGATGGAACTACTTTTGAAGAAGACTTCTTGCCTAGCGCTAGAGCTTGACCTGAATCATGTATTCAGAAAGAAATAGCAGAATAGACCCACTAAGCATATTCCTGGTTAGAAACCAGTAGTTTTAGAGACAGGAGGAAAGATCTCAGAATCTGAAGGCAGAGCTAGATTTGGAAGTTAGTTCAATCACTCCTCTGTAAAATGGGCTCACAGAATTCCAATAGGAATAAAGGTAATATGTGTAAAGCAGCTATACAGTGACTAGCATATAGTAAGTGCTTGGTAAATAATAGCTGTTATTACGATGGCCCAGTATTGCTTGAATAAAAAGACTTCTAATATATTTTTGCCTGCGAATCCTGGATGAAATGAGACATAAAAAATTGTAGGCAAAATTAAAATTTGTGAGAAAGATTAACTGGGTCCCACTGAGCACTTGCCTCCAAGTGAAATTTAGTTCAGTGTAGGAAGAGGACTACTCTTTGACTTCTCTCTTATCCCAGAAATGCATCTTTTTTCCTTCCTTTAACATCTTACAAAGCGTTAAAGCTTCCATGTTCTAGAAATTACAACAATCTGGTACAAAGGAAAGAGCCCAGGATCTGAAACAAGCATATGTGGGTTCTGGTCTCATTGGAAGAAAGTAAGCAAATATCTTAGCCTCTGCACCTTGTTTTGATCCAATGTAAAATGGGCATACTGACTCCCCAATGCTCTTGAGAAAATCAAGATGGTTTCTAAAACATCGATAACTTGGAGTTGATCAGCCAAACAATTCAGTAATCAAATTAAAAAAAAAAATCAGTGGATACTGCATTGGTACTTACCATTTACCATAAGCAAAGAACCATGAAAGACACAAAAGAAATCGGAGCCAGAGAACCCAATCAAGAAGAACTAGTCACCAATGAGACTGCAATTCACTTAAACAGGGCACAAAACTAAATGAACATAGTGCCAACTGTGAAAACACAGAACATTCTGTATAGAGTGATGATACACAGAGCTTGATCATTAACCTCCCAGGGCTATCACTCAAAGCCCACCTCAACAGAGCTCTAATCCACCTCTGAAAGCTTCATTTCTCAAGTCTTGCTTGGGAACTGCTTCAGCCAAGTGGAAACACAAGCTATCCCCAAACACGTGCTGAACTTTCCCTCTGTTTGCTCATGCTCTTTCTTTGCACATCTAATCACTCGGCTACCCAGAATTTTTCGCCCTTTTTAAATCTCTTCCATTCATTACCACACATCCTAACGGTCACTTTCTCCATGAAGCCTTCCTAAGTCTTCAAATTACATATTCATTTTCCACTTTTGAAACCCCCATTTCATTTTGTTAGTGGCAGTCTGTACAGTCTACTTATGCATTATCTTTTCCCTCTTGGATTATAAGAGAGAAAACGTAACCTCCTTCACCTTGTATCACCAACAACTTGTTCATAGTAGGTATTAACTAACTTTTTGAAAATTATATTTACTAATGGAACCTGATGGAGATGCTTATAAATCACGCAATCTTAATCTTGATTTGAACAAAACAACTCCGTGCTACCTCATTCATTTACTCCTTAAATAGGTATTGGCGCCTATGATATGTATGCTTATGGGATACATGCAGGAAAACAGCTGATTGCGGAAGCAGATGATAGGGCTTTCCTAGAAGAAGTACAGGATGGGATGCCTGGGGGTGGGGAGGAGATACAAACTCATTCCTTAATGCTTTCCAGTGGACATTTAATGACTAAAAGAAAGAGTTTTCTCAATAGGTGATCCATGCATCAGAAAGCTGGCTTTGACACCAACCCTCTCTCTCCAAAGAGGGTGGGAGCAGAAAGATTCAAGTTCAGCCGGACAAGAGACACGGAGCAAAGGCAAGAAGAAGACCCTTCCCTCTCTGCATATTGAACTTGTAGTCCTTATCAGAGGAAAATATTGGGAAGATTGATAAATATTTCCATTACCCTAATAAAACTTCATGTTACATACAAGCTATTATTATCACAATTATATCTTTTTCTCACTTTTTAAAAATCGATTCAGAACAATTGAATCTTAGAAATGGTAGTGTTGAAATACGGCAAACATCTTCCTTGCAGCAGCAATAAACTTGACGCTGAAGCCTAATGTTTTCTGTATATTCCTTCTCTATTTCTCCTTTTGGATTATAGATTATGAAAGAGGGATTTTATGCAGCAGTTGGTGACAAAATATATTTCTTACTAATGTGTAATATTTGCTACATTAATAATTTTATGGCTTTAATTATTGATGCAAACTTAATTGTGCCCCATGTCCCTTTTTCTTGCAGCTCAATAAAAACTATATATTTCTTTAATTAGGCTTCATTTGAAGACTAGAAGACAATGCAGGGGTGGTTTCTTGCTAATTCACCCATCTATAGCCAGGGAAAAAACGGAATTAGTGTCTTCAGTGTAGTTTAGCAAGAAAAAATATCTAACTGTTCTGAAAGTGTGACTTTCCTTTGCACAGTTAACCTCACCCAGAGGCCAGGAATATATAGGCAACTGAAAGCGGACACTGCAACAGGGGATGATATTCTCCCCTTCCTGGCTCTGGGGAGAAATTTCATTGATTTTAGTAGAGATGGAAAGGAAAAATTGGGGTCACCTACATGGTTATCATACTGTCTTCCCTCTTTATATTCTCGACCTTACTCGAAATCTAATCTTAGTCTTTCCTGCTTGATTCCAACATTTTGTTGTGGTAGTCCACTTACAATCACCAGGAGTATTACAGTCACTTTATTCTGTGTCCAAACGTTTCAAAACAACTACCAGAAAGCCTGGATGGAAGGAAACTAACATTTGCTAAGCATCTGGTCTGGGTTATACAAGGTGCTTTCAATCAATTATTGCTTTAATCTCCAGGGGTCACAATCGCAAATGCCAACAAGTTCAAAAATGAAGAGAGCAGATAGGGCTTGAGAAACAAGGAGCCCTCGGAACTCCATCTTTCATTTTCCACTTTGATAGAGAAGTGAGTTCAGAAAAAAAAAAAATGTTTAAGAATAACATTTGTAACATTCTGTGAGAATAACAGTAGAGCAATGATTGCAGATGATACTCCATCTCAGTGTCAGGTGGACATCAGGAGAGACAGGACTGGCCAACTGGAAGGCTTATATCCCATCTCAGTGAGATTCTCAACTCTGGCCCACCACTGCCATGCTGAGAGCTCTTCTAAATTTTTAAGTGAAGCTTAAAAGCTTCATTCTTAACTATATTCATTTTCTAGTGTTACATGAAAGATTACCACAAATTTAGTAGCCTAAAACAATACAAATTCATTACCTCACTGTTCTCCTAACTCAGGAGGTTGAACTGGAGTTGGCTGGGTCCTGTGCTCAGGTGTCACCTGGCAAAACTCGAGGTGTTGGCAGGCGCTATAATCACATCTGTGACTCTAGAGTCCTCTTCCAAACTCACTGACTGATAGTATAATTTGTTTTCTTGTGGTTGTATGACCAACAACCCTATTTTCTTGCTGGCTTTTAGGGACTATTCTCGGTTTCTAGCGGCTACCCTCGCATCCTGGCCCTGTAGCCTCCTCCACAGACCCTCTCACCACATAGAAAGCTTACTTCTTCAAGCTTAGCAGGAGAATCTAATGCTTCAAATCTCTCTTACCTCTTTTAGAAGCTCACCTGAGTAGGTCAGGTTCATCCAGGATTATCTATCTCCCTCTTGATTAGGTCAAAGTGAAATAATTAGTGACCTTAACTACATCTGCATAATCCCTTCTGCCCTATAATGTAACTTACTCATCAGAGTAACATACATCTTTTTCCTAAGTCTCCTTCCTACTCAAGTTGGAGGGGATTAACACAAAACAGGGACGGGGATCTTGGTGGCCATCTTGGAATTCTGCCTACCTTTCCCTTTTCTCAAGCTTCCCACAGAAATATAGCACTCTTAAAAAATGAGCTGCTGAATAGCCATGAATACTTTAACTTCCTTTCATTTTCTACAACTGCTTTGACCTCTTGGCACTATCTTATCACATTATCTGATTGGTCCAATGCCCATCTATATTCAGTGCCTGTCTCTAGTTTTAAAATTTCAGTGTTGGAGCTTTTTCCTGCCGTTTGATAAGCATAATAAATAGTTGTCACAAATGAAATTTGCACAAAAGCAGACTGTGATGTCAATAGCAGGTACAGTTTTTGTAACTGTAATGTAGGTTGATTCTTGAAATCCTAAATTTATCATTAGTACACTCTATTCAGAGAGAGTTACTCTCTTGATATACATAAAAAAATTCAAACTTCAAAGCATTTTAGAAAATGACAGGCATCTGAAAGTCCCATTTTTATTCTAATGAAAATATATATCTTTTACCAAGAAGTTAAGATTTCTCACAAAATGTAAAGGGCCTTAAAAAAAATAAGGGTACTAAAAAGTGTTATTATTCTCAGCAAGACAACTCATAACCATGTTGATTTAGGAAAATCTTCAAGGATTTACTGAGGCAATTGTAAGTTAAACTCAGTTCTCACAATGAAAGGAAAATGCTTTGATAAGTTTTCTGGGGTTTCCTTTCAGCTTACTTGCTTCTTTGCCTATAAAAATATTTTATATCATTTTTAAGGGCAAGCTATAAGCAATATTTATGTTCAGAGAAGAAATCCATCTATAGGAATTCAGATTTAATTTTAAAAACAGGTAAACAATTCTACGAACAAAGTCAGTGATTTCCCCAGGTACTTTTTGAAAATAAATAAAAACAAATCAGCTCTCGTTGTCTCATTTGTTGTTTGAACACTAAACAGCAAGACACTGGGATTTCTGAAAGCAGTTGTATTATTTTAGACTTTACAAATCTATACAATAATTCATGATTTAGAAAAGAACTGTTGGGTTATCTAGCTAGTCTTTTTTAAGAGTAGCAGTTGAAACAAACAATCAGCTCACTTCATGCATGGAAGAGAATTCTTCAAGCTCTTCCCCTTAAACAAATCTTCAATCAGTTAAATGACAACATTGTTCAAAAGAGAATTATTTTATATTTCTCCAGTTCTTATTGATGAATCTCTCATTCTCAATTTTAAAATTTGTGTGTCAACTAAACGCCTGTAAGTGGACTGACATACATTTTATAGTACATATATTAACTAGATCAATTCAATCAAATGCCAATATTTCACCCTATCTGATTTTCAACACAGCATGTTGGTAAATACTTATAGAAAAATGTTTCTGTATATACTGTTTCCAGCTTGAGAAGATTAATATGGTTATACAAATGTAAGCCTAATTTGGAACATTTCCAGACACTTTTTGATTGTGCCAAGGGTGATTTTTGAAAAATTTGTAAAGGGTTTCCCTAGTGGCGCAGTGGTTGAGAGTCCGCCTGCCGATGCAGGGGACATGGGTGCGAGCCCCGGTCCGGGAAGATCCCACATGCCGCGGAGCGGCTGGGCCCGTGAGCCATGGCCGCTGGGCCTGCGCGTCCGGAGCCTGTGCTCCGCAACAGGTGAGGCCACAGCAGTGAGAGGCCCGCGTACCGAATAAAAAAAAAAAAAAGAAAAATCTGTGATAAGTTTATTGTGGTCATTTGGTAAAAATAATCATTTCAAAAGACTAGAGAAAAGATAAAATTATTAATAGAAAAAAGCTCATTTTAAAAGCACATTCTTATTGATTTTTATTATATTTAAAAATAAAAGCAAAGCCAGCTTTAGCTCCTGATCTACCTCTTCATTCCTATTGAGTGAATAGAGAAATTTCTACATGGTATAATTTGAGAAGCACTGAGCACCTTCAACTGGCCTTGCTTAATCCCGGTGACTAAGACTTCAAGACTTAACTTTAAAGGCATTGGCAACCACCATTTAAAGGCAGAAGTTATCTAGCGGGGGTAATGAGTAAAGTCATTATCACATAAGATTAGTTCTGAAAGATAAATTGTGGCCTTCTAATGAGTCCCTAGCAAAACAGGAGCAGTCGAATTTAAAGAGGATAGGAAAAAGAAAAGGCATCTACTAAAACACTCCAGCCATAATGATGATCCAGTGAATATCTGTGGAGTTGAATCAACTTGAACAGAGAGCAACAGACTTTACCTCTGGGACCCTGTCAAAAGGTAACGCTTTGTAGCTGAATCTCAAGGGAAAGTTTGAGGCCCAGGAGAAAGAAAGGAAATGAACAGAGGCTGCAAAAAGAGGTAAGGAGAGTACCCATATCCACGTTGGGATACTTGAAACAAAGTAGAGGTGAGGAAACAGGAGATGTTGTATAAATACTACCCAGAGATATGCCTCTCTTTCCACAAGTATAAAATTCAATCTTGTTATATAGCTGATAATTCATTTTAGAAACCCATGAAGGTTAAACTGACACCTAGAATTCTTTACAGAAATTTTTTCACATATCTAGGTAGCTTGTAAGTATAATTTTCATATCATTTAAATAAAACAGAATAACAAAACTTCCCTTTTGTATCATGAATTCATAGGACAATTTAGCTATTGGCTTTAGCTAAAAAATAGAGCTATTGGTTAGCAACTTGAACAATCACCACCAAGTATAAGATTAAGCCAATTTTGCACTTTTCAGTGAATTCAAATCTGCAATATGGTCCTAATGGCAGAATGTATCTTTGGTTTCACTGTCTGGTCCTTCTACCTAAGATAACATAGATTCCAAAGTTTAATTTTATACTTATAACCATTAGCATTTATTTTTCTCCAACAGGGTATCAATAAGTTTCTGCCAGTGAATTGGCAAAATCATGACTCTTCTTAATTTATTTTTTGCCTCTCAATAATTTTGCAACCCAGCTCTGTTTCTAGGATCTCTGCTTTTACTTCTTGCGGGAGAAAAGAAATTTGTTTGCACAATGCAACAAGATCTAGGGATCTGTAACATGAGAAACTGAGCAATTGTTTCAATATATCCACCAGTAGTTTTCAGAGGGTAGGATCATACAACTGTATTTAATCAGAAGAACTTATCACAGAAGCTTGGGATACAAATGTCAAGACATTGCATATGATGAAGTGTTGCCTGTTAGTATCCAGGATATCCAGAGTTCAAAGGGAAGATCCACTAGAAAAGGCTTCCCAGAAAAGTCAGGGGCTTCTGGATAACAGTTCAAATATGTCTACTCCTTACTTGAATGACTGATCATACTTCCTTGATTCAAGATACCCATTTTTCACAACTATGGTTTTCAAAATCAGGAAGCAACTTTTAATCAAGGTACACTTTTAATATTGTGATTTTTTTCCTTTTTTTGGAAACTTATTATTTAATCAATGGTGAATCTAATGATCAGTGGTTCTTTAAACTCAAGAAAATAGGTATTCCAACAAATAGATACAAGATCAAGAATAAGAAGAGTAAAACCTTATGAGAGGACCAATATTTGCCCTGATATGTAAAACCTCAGCAAATGAAGAAAAACAGAAAAGGAAAAATTCTGTACTGTGGTAGGGATCTTTGCTATTAGACACTAGATCTATGTTTAAAAGCATGTGGAATGCTTCTCCAGCCTAAATTTGGTATCCTTGTGGGGGAGAGAATTTACTTGTTATTTATAAGTGCACTGTGTGTGTGTGTGTGTGTGTGTGTGTGTGTGTGTGTGTTTGTGTGTGTGTGGTTTCCAAGTAATTCAAAGCACACTAGAGACCTTAACACCCTACCTACAAAACGACAATTATTGTTTTCATGAAAGATAAATGATTACATTTAAGAGTGGTACTAGCAAAAGAAATTTTTTTCATTGAAAAGTTATAGTTTGACCTGTTTTGACACATTAAGGGGAGGCTTCCAATCTGAAATTTTTTCTTAACTCATGAGTCAATCAAGTAGTTCTGAGACTGTAATTGAGCATTTTGTCAATACAAGGAGACTTAAAGATTATCTAGAACACTTAGCTCATTTCACAAACAAGAAAAATGAAGTCCAGAGTCATTTGCTTTGCCCAAGGTTGCCTAATTAATTAGTGCCAAAACCATGGGTAGAACCCAGTACTTCTTTTTGCCAGTGTAATGCTTTTTTTCAGTGGAGAAGGGTATCTCCTTCCATAAACATGATAAAATACTGTGGTTCTGGGAGGCTTTGCCAGAACCTACAAATTGAGCCCAGGTCTCAGAGAAGTTCTGAGAAAGCACAGCTCAGTTCTACCACAATATTTCAAGTGGTTCTCTATACTTCTCTGGCCACTATGCAGAGATATAACGTCTATAGGATTTTTGTAGTGGACCTGGGAACGCTTGCATTCAAACAGTATTTTAAGTGGTCGAGGAAGTCTTTAATAAGTTAGAATCATGCAGCATTTTGAGAATTGGAAGAGCTCTGTGCAATACATTTCATTTTATTCCCTCAATTTATAGAGGAGGAAGATAACATCTGGGAAAGTAACATGGCCTATCACATGCTGATGGGTGCAGGGTCAGGACTGGAACACAAATTTCCTTGTTCACTGCTTTTTCATGATACCACACAGCTTTACCATGAATTATGCCCAGGAAATGGAAAGATGCAAAGGTGAAATAACCAAAGACAGCTTTCTATGAGAGATTTCTCAAGCAAATGATGAAACTGGTGATATTTGTCCTCAGGCCTGGTTAATTCCCTATCCTTGTCCGTCTCAGTGGCCAGTGTCCTCCCTCATGGGTTCTCCCCTCTCTTGCTATCAAAATATACTTTTTAGGAAAGGTTTCACAAGCTATCTTATACATTCTTAGCAACTGTGTTTGGTAGGCATTAGTATTAACATTGCCATTTTAAGATGTGAAAGTGAAAGGTGCCTGAGGATTGAGTTACTTCTCCGTGGCTCTACAGTTCTGTAAGTGGCAAGCAAGGATGCAAGTCCACAAGTGTCGGGATTTTAGCACTTTTCTTTAAACATTGCTAATTCAGCACTGTATCTAGAACACAATATGTGCACAATAAATGTGAGCTACACGAAAATAAAGGAGGAAGGAAGGAAAGAAGGAAGGAAGGAAGGAAGGAGGGAGGGAGGGAGGGAGGGAGAAGAGATCTATTCAGACTAAGTTGTGACGAACAGCATTTGAACTTGCTATCTTTCTGTTTGCATGTGAACGGGAAACAAAATCTTAAACTGAAGAAATAAATTGGAATTTCAGGCATCTTCCAGCAGGGTGAGAAATTTGGCAGAAGAAGATAAAGGTGGCCTAAAATTCCATGTTGGCCTTTTCAGAGCTTAGCAGTCACAAACTCGTGATAAAATAGTTCTATGATTATTTCAGAGAGGACTTTTCATGATGCAGGAAAATTATCAACCCTGTTTCTGCCCAAATACCACAGGCAGAATATTCCATGAAGTCCAGGGGTGGTTCCTTCCCTCAGTTTCCAAACAGTTAGTTCAGAGAGCATCAAATGCCAGAGGTGGATAGTCACAAAAGTTGGTTTAAAATGTCCTGGTCAGTGGTTGCCCAGTGGAGACCAGGGCGGGCAAACCTAGAGCCAGAATGCAGGTTTCAGAGATTTCATTTGCAATATCTTTGGGTTAATTCCCTAGATTTGGCTAAGGCTTTTAGGTTCTGTGAAGCGTTTGCAGGGAGGCCTAGCCATGGAGTCAAGCCCTGTTCCTGGAGACTTCATCAAGTTCCTCCCCGTTCATGGTTCTGTCTGTATGAGGTGACACAGGAGGGGAGGGAGAGGTAGGACCAGAATACACAAGCTCACAGGGGAGGGAAAAGGAGGAGGACCGGCACATTCTTTTAAGTTAATTCAAGTGAGTCATTCAAGGACCCAAAGGTCTGAAGGCCTCCTGGATGATTCTAATGTCATTTTCTGCATCTTCTTAGATTACCTATGGTCCATCATCTAAGAGTCAAAGAGCCAGGTTCAAGGCTCTGCAGAATTTCACTACTGATCAAACGGTCTTGGACAAATCACTATATTTGTACCTCAACTTCTCACTTATATTGATGACGATTAATAGTTGTGTGACCCACCTCACTTGATGAATGTAAAGAAAAAAAGCCTTTTATATTGTAAAATATTCTGTAGCTGTGATTGTTATCATTGCTTTATAATATGAATGTGCTACTGTACTGTTTGGCCTTTGTTACTTCTTTTTTTTTCCCTAAACTGTGATACTTGGAGGGCACACCTTACTAGTGACAAGTCAGAGTGGCTTATCCCAATGACATATCCTAATGCCTCCTTATGTGTAACATTAGTTGCAAAGACCACTGCTATATAAATAGAATCATACCTTCTACCTATTTCAAGTAGATGCCATCAAACAAAGGTAGAACATACCTACACATGAATGCATAAGTTTCAAAACCTCACAATAGGACATAACATATATTTTTTAATAAAATATTTTCTACGAAAAAAGTTTAAAACAGTAGAATACATAATGTCAGCAATTTCTACCTTAGAACTACTCAATATATAAGATATATCAAGGATTAAGAAAAACAGGGGCTTCCTTGGTGGCACAGTGGTTAAGAATCCGCCTGCCAATGCGGGGGACACGGGTTCGAGCCCTGGTCCAGGAAGATCCCACATGCCGCGGAGCAACTAAGCCCGTGCGCCACAACTACTGAGCCTGCACTCTAGAGCCCGCGAGCCACAACTACTGAGCCTGCGTGCCACAACTACTGAAGCCTGCGTGCCTAGAGCCTGTGCTCTGCAACAGGAGAGGCCACCACAGTGAGAAGCCCGTGCACCGCAACGGAGAGTAGCCCCCGCTCGCCGCAACTAGAGAAAGCCCGCGCCCAGCAACGAAAGCCCAACACAGCCAAAAATAAATATATAAAATTTATTAAAAAAGAAAAACAGAACTTCCAGGTGCTCGGCTGCCTCTTCCCGGACCGAGCAAAGCGCCCACGTAGCCGCCACCTGCGTCCTCCTTCCCACGGCCCTCGGGAGACCGCGCTTGGTGGCAGTGGACCGCCAGCAGCTCCGAAGGTGACAGTGTGGGAGATTCCGTCCGTGGGAAACCTTCCGTGGTGTACAGATTTTTTACAAGTCTCGGACAGGTCTATCGGGCCTGGCTGGACAAGTCTACTCCATACACGGTTGTGCAATGGGTGGTGACGCTGGGCCTGAGTTTCATCTACGTGATCCGAGTTTACCTGCTGCCAGGTTGGTACATCGTGACCTATGCCTTGGGAATCCACCATCTAAATCTCCTTATAGCTTTCCTTTCTCCAAAAGTGGATCCTTCCTTAATGGAAGATTCAGACGATGGCCCCTCGTTACCAACCAAACAGAATGAGAAGTTCCAGTCCTCTATTCGAAGGCTCCCAGAGTTTAAATCCTGGCACACGGTGACCAAGGACATCCTGGTGGCCATGGTTTGCACCTTCTTTGAGGCATTCCACGTCCCAGTGTTCTGTCCCATCCTGGTGATGTACTTCGTCATGCTCTTCCGTATCACGATGAAGAGGCAGATAGAGCACATGATCGAGTACCGGTACATCCTGTTCACACACGGCAAGAAGACATACAAGGGAAAGGAGGACACAGGCAAGACATTTGCCAGCTAGACGCGGCCGCCCTCCGCGGGCCCTGGACGGCCACAAGTTGCTGTGATGGCACCTTCTTTCCTCACATAAAGTAGTTGATTACAAGGGAGTTATTTTCTTTTTAAAAAGGAGCTTCAATTATTTGTAACTGAGATATCAGGCTCTTGAAGAAACTTACATTTAAACAGAATCGTGTTGATTTGTTTTCCAGTGCCGGTCAGGCGACCAGACGCTGGCCTTGCAGGGCGCAGGCAGGGTGGACAGCCGGGTGGGCTGGGGGGCGGGGGAGGGGGGAGCGGGGGCGGGGGCGGCAGAGTCAGGCCCCGCGGTAGGAGCCAGGACGCCCAGCTGCCGCCTCCCAGGACGCTCACCTGGCCCTGCCAGCCACACGGAGGATGCTCGCCCGTCAGTCCGGTGCGTGGAAGAGATTCTGCAGTTAACTCAGGGCTGTAATGCCAGTTACCAAATTTCATCTCACTAGAGATGTGCTGAGTTGGCCTCTAGCATAATGACTCAAAACTTTGTTCTTAACTACCATGATTGCTTCTGAGGGCCTGGAATTATAAATATATATTATATTTTAATTGTTTGAGGTTATTTTGACACATTTCTTTGATACGTGAAGGGTTGTTTTAACTTAAACGAGTTCTTATGCAGCAGCCCCTTTTCAGAGACACCTGGCAGGAGCAGCCAGTTCTGTGGCTTTTAATACATGGCTTCCCACTTTCTACCGGGAAACAACTCTGACCTGCATGTCAACTTTTTTGATGTGATAAAAACCAATACTCGTAAAAAAAAGAAAAACAGGACTTCCAGATAACAAATGAAATGTTTCACATATTCATTTCATATATTCATTCATATATACTTTATCCCATCCTTACATGTATATATTTAATCTAAAGGTAATAAATGTAACACAGGTCGCAAGTTATAATCAAGAGGTTCATTTTGAATTGTTAATTGTTGTCCAACTTTTTATAAAACAGAATACAAAGAGACAAAATTTCTTTAATAGTTCAGAAAGCACACCATAAGCTCTAATGGACAGATTAAGAAGCAAATAGTTAAAATTTGGAGATCTTACTATAAGTATTATAATTTTAAACTTTTTCTATAAAACTCAATTACTGCATGCATGCCAGTGAAATTAAAAAAGAGAGAGAAGGGATTTCCCTGGCTGTCCAGTGGTTAAGACTTCCCCTTCCAATGCAGGGGGTGCTGGTTCGATCTCTGGTCGGGGAGCTAAGATCCCACATGGCTTGCGGCCAAAAAACCAAGACATAAAACAGAAGCAATATTGTAACAAATTCAATAGAGACTTAAAAAAATAAAAACAGAGAGAAAAGTTTAAGCATTAACTGCTGTAAACATTTAAATAAATATAACATATATCTACATACACAACTTGCTAGTAGGTATATATCATTTCTGCCTGGTAATTTTCTCTCTCCTCTCTGTGTCTTCCACCTCAGCACAATATGACATGACACTTTCTATATGAAAATAAATGACACCACTTTCTCATTAGGTTCCCCTCAGGGAATAAAACTAATGGACAAACTCTGTGGGGCACCATGGGTGAGGAATTATCCATGGCTGGGAGTAGCCTAGAGCTTGACAGGACCCAGGGTTACCTAACACAGTGAGGCCAAAGGAAATGGAGAAGAAAAGTTGAGGCAAGAGGAGTGATTTGAAAAGGCAGACCAAATGATAATGGGGTCCACATGAGGAAGACTAAACATAAGGTCAGAGGCTGGAAGAATGGGGACCGGAAGGCTCGGTGAAAATAGGTTCAAGACTACACAAAGGAGTCACAGCCCTGCCTCTATGAGGGTCCTGGTGTGACGTGCCTGATGAAATAGGAAACTAGACAGTTACCGACATGTATTTCTCAACTGATACGCCATGGAGTCTGTGATGGCACTCTGTACTATCCAGCCATGCCAATGGGTGGTGGCATGCCCTCTCAGACATCTGTGGTCGACTTCAATTATTTTCTTGCTACTGTAAATTTCTATCCAAACTGAATTTTTAGAAAATTTAACAATGCATCTGTTGGGAGAAACATTGGGATTTCTAAACTGAGAATGCATATTACACTCATTTTAAGAAAAAAATACATTTCAAAGAAAATCTTCGAAGGGTTATAATAAGTTTCCCTCTTAAAATCTCCAGTAACTAATTTTAACAATGGCTTTCATATCTTTCTCCAGTTGGGCATTTTGTTTAGCTCAAAAAAAAGAGAAATAATTATAATATTTCTTTTCTAATAATGTCAAGAAGTTTCTGTTATTGCCCAAGTGAAAATATTTCACCGTAGCCTCATTTCCTTCTTCATTATATAGCATAAAGATCAGGAGGCACAAAAATCATTATTTTCCTGATAACTTCAATCCTCTATTTCATAAAGGAAAGGAAGTGAAAGAAAACTACCTCTCGACATTCCCAAACCGGTTTGCTTTTGGATTTTGCATATTCAGGCAACTAACTGTTGGCTGTTTTACTGGTTTGAATAACCCATAAGGTACAAGACAATCTAAGTTCTACATTAGAACCCACATCTGCTTATGCTAGAATGAAAACCCATCTGAGAATCAATGAAGCACATGGAAAGGGTCTAATTAAATCCCTATGCCATTTCCTTTAAAACTGTCAAATTGAAATTGTAATCGTGTATTCATTCACCCCCCAGTGGTGTAGTGGTAATTTTAGAAGTGGGAATATTTAAGCAATAAGAGCCAACAGGGTGTGTTTTGCTAGGATATCAATGAGCCTGGACAGTTCCTGTAAGCAGACAATAGACTGAAAACAAAACCTTTCCTACATGGTGAGTGAATCAGGAGACCCTCTCCAAGAGTACAGCCACAGTAATGACAAAGACTTAATTCTGTATTAGGAATGAGAACTTATAATAGATGTATTGAGAGAATTATACGGTGAAATCACAGTAAACTATTAAATGAAAATAATACAAAGCATTGGCACATTAAATCAAAGTGATAAAATGTTCAACACATTAAAAATCAAACATCCAAGATTTCTGGCTTTTGAAGTCACCGTAAAATTCCTAACACTTGTTCTGTCTATAGTTCTCTTTCTTCTTTGCCTAATTTTGTGGTTGCCTTAAATGACCCCCCAACAAAAATCTAACTGAATAAGTATGAGAGGAATATGTGCTCTGCAACTTGTTATTGGGGTACCTTTTGGCCTCATTTTAGAGGACAGCAATACTTTAAGAGTGAGTCTCTTTAGAGCATGGATTGGAATATCTATATGCTCTTAACATACACTAAAATATATGTTACCCAGGATGGTTTTTGCACTATGTTTAAATAACAAATACGAAAGAAAGCAACCACATTATATAGCTAATTCACTGGCTTCATGTAGATTCAGCCTGAGTTAAGAGACCACCGGGGGGCTTCCCTGGTGGCGCAGTGGTTAGGAATCCACCTGCCAATGCAGGAGACACAGGTTCGAGACCTGGTCTGGGAAGATCCCACGGGCCGTGGAGCAACTAAGCCCGTGCACCACAACTGCTGAGCCTGTACTCTGGAGCCCGCAAGCCACAACTGCTGAGCCCACGTGCCACAACTACTGAAGCCCGCGTGCCTAGAGCCCGTGCTCCACAACAAGAGAAGCCACTGCAACGAGAAGCCCACACACCGCAATGAAGAGTGGCCCCCCCCACTCGCCGCAACTAGAGAAAGCCCACCAGGGTATCTCCAGGCCTCATCAGCAGTATCTCCATGTTCTTGCTTCTAGGCTACAGCGTGGCTTGATCTAGAGGCAGTGACCAAAAGAAAAAAAAGTTCTGCAGATTAATTTGTTAAACTGCTTTCCTCGATATACTTGCTGACCAGAAAATTTGGTAGACGCCAGTAAAAAAGGCTAGCATGACCGCGTTCAAGCAATCTGCATATGAAAAAGTCCTCCGTTCACTCACCTCCTCTCATTTCATACCTCCCATCCTCCTCCAAGCCCAATCCCAAACATGAACACAGCTGTAGGGATGGGTGTCTGGCTGCTCTGCAGGCAGGAAAGATCATCAACGGGGGGCAAGAATGGAGAAAAGGGAAAATAGGGAGTTCGATGTTGCTTTTGCCCTCCCCACTCTTTACGCCAGCCCCCTCTCCATACAAAATCCTCTTAGAAAGCTTTCCTCAGTCAAGCTGGGCCATCCTCCAAGGTCACTGTGTACAAATATAGCAACCTCAGAAGAAAATTAAATGGGGTTTCCATTGTCCTATTTGTCTAGGGTGTCCTTCAGGAAAGAATTAAGATAAGCAATGCTGACAGTTTTTTAAAAATTTAAATAAAGTAAAATATACTTCTGTGTAAAGAACTGTGGAAAACTGAGTAGAACTAGAGGTCACATAAAAGAGAGAAATAACTGGATACTGGGAAGGCACTCTTCCCACCTTCCTCGCCACTTTGCTTAAGGCCATTCAACTTCTGGTGTGGGAATGGGGCGTAAGGAGGGGATGGACACTTAGGAGAAAGGACGTCTATTGCTTTGATCAAATGAATTCATGTTTTCTGATCCGATTCTCCTAGAATACAAAAATCACTTACACCATCAGTGTGGAGAATCATAATGCCAACTCACACATGATGTTCTCTACCCTACACTGGCAACAGGACTATACAGAGAGTAACAGAGATTACAGACAAGTTAAAGGAAGATAAAATTCACAAATAATAAGTAAGAATTGAAAACCATCAGAATACCAAGAGAATCCATAAATTGCATCTCTCTGCAGTAAGTGAGATCCTCAACATCAGTCAGTGACAGGGAGAACATACACAAGGTTACGACGAAATTCCAACACTGAACTCTTATAAAAAGAAGCATAGGGCTTCCCTGGTGGCGCAGTGGTTGAGAGTCCGCCCGTCGATGCAGGGTATGCGGGTTTGTGCCCCGGTCCGGGAAGATCCCACATGCTGCGGAGCGGCTGGGCCCGTAAGCCATGGCCGCTGAGCCTGCGGGTCCGGAGCCTGTGCTCCGCAACGGGAGAGGCCACAACAGTGAGAGGCCCGCGTACCGCAAAAAAAAAAAAAGCATAAACTT